ACCGATGTGGCTTCACATATAAGAACTGTTCTATTTTTTGTCAGTTCGATGTTGGTTTTATGCAGTTTCACATTCTTTACAAAACAAAAATAATATGGTGTTTTATTAACAAATTACAATTATAAAGAAAACATTTAGGTGTTAACAAACAAGAATTTATTAACAAAACTGCTGATGTCTTTCCAAAACGTGTGTGTGAAAGCCGAGTAGAGTTGCAGTAATGTGACGTCATCAGCGGGCGCTGGACCCCGAGCCGATCCTGTACCGACACCGGTTTCCAACTCATATTCAGCATGGCTGCGTCAGCATCTCTGCACTGGTTACCCGTTAACTTTAGAGTTCATTTTAGAATCCTGACTATAACTTTCAATGCTCTACATGGTCAAGCTCCTCCCTAAATTACTGAACTGTTAAAGCCTTCTGCTCCAACCCGAGCCCTCAGGTCCACCCACCAGAACCTTCTAGAGGTTCCAAAGATCAGATGGAAAAGTCGAAGTGATCGCTCCTTCCAGACTGTTGCACCCCGACTCTGGAATGATCTTCCTTTATCCTTACGCAGCGTTGGCAGTCTGGACACTTTTAAAAGAACAGCTAAAGACCGTTTTATTTAAAGCTGCTTTAAAGTAAACCTTTTATTTTCTTATTTTTACCACAAAAAATTTTTCTTTCATCTGTTTATGAAATTTTATAATTTTATGACTTTATTTTTTCTGATGTTAATCTATTTCTGTTTTGAGATCAGTATGATTTTAAGACTATTTTATTTTGTTTTGATCTATGTGAAGCCCTTTGTGATTCCATGTCTGTGACAAGTGCTATATAAATAAAATTTACTTACTTACTTAATTACTTAATTACTTACTTACTTACTTACTGTAATTCGGACGTTAATGGATGAAACACCAACAAATCAAACAGCACATAAAAATGTAAAACACACAAATGAGACGTCACCAAACTGCTCAGTAGCATCAGACAGTAGTAATCAATCAAAAGAAAAACCTCAGTCTGTGTACAGTCATATTTATTGCACTAGTGAAATGAAGAATGGCTTTTTTGTGTAAATATGTCATTTAAAACACTAGCACATGGCTCCTGGAAGCTCAAGTCCTAACATGGTTATAGATGTTTTATCAACTACGAGCCAATAATAATACATTAAAGTTAAAGTCCTATTAGTCATCATCACACTGGTGAACTTACATCTCCACGTATGACCCATCCCCATTGGGAGCAGGGAGCTGCAGCAGTGGCTATGTGGTGGTCCAACCCCTTAAAGCAGAGCGTCAAGCAGGGAGGCGTTGGGTGCCATTTTTAAAGTCTTTGGTATGAGCCAACCAGGAATCGAACCCCGATCCCCTAGTCCCAGCATCTGTTGGCTTGATGATGACTTGAGCATATTTCATATGACGTGGACAAAAATCATAAACCATCCTTGGTTCTGGGTTTGATCTTGATCTGCTAAATGCAGCAGCACTTTGTTTAGAATCAGTTTCAGTTTCTGCTTGTTTGAGCAAATAAATGAAGTTTTAAGAAACTTTATTTCTGGAATTAATTTATTATCATCGTCATTAAATTAAAATTGGATAGAAGACTTGAAAATGACTTAAATTCAAAGTAAAGGACTTGGGCTTGACTTGGACTTACGCATCATTGACTTTGGACTCGACTTGGACTTGGTTGTCTTTGACTTGGACCTGACTCGAGGCTTGACTGGAAGGACTTGTGACTTACTTGTGACTTGCAAAGCAGTGACTTGGTCACACCTGTGCTAATTTCCCAGTCAGAGCCAAGAACTGTTAAACAAACAGAAACAAATTCATTATAATGAAAAATGCTGCTTCGATGTGCATCGGTCACAAAGTTCATCCTTGAATTTGGTTAAAATTTAAATAGTGGATGAACACATGAACGCAGAGGCAGGTTTGGAGGGAACAGCAGGAGTCGTGGGGGGAATCGGAATAAGAACCTGACAGGTGAGAAGTGTTACCTGGTTGTTTGATGTGCTTTAATTTCTGTACACAGCAAAAAGTCTAGAGTTGATTTAACTCGCACAGAGTTGATTTTAACACTTTTTCAGGGTTTATATAGATACACACTCTACAGAGTTAATTTAACACTTTCAAAATAGTTAAAAATTTAACACTGTTCTAGAGTTCTCGTTTAACTCACAAAACAGAGTTAAATTAACACTTTTTCAGGGTTTATATAGATACACACTCTACAGAGTTAATTTAACACTTTCAAAATAGTTAAAAATATAACACTGTGCTAGAGTTCTCTTTTAACTCACAAAAGTTAAAAGTTACGAGTTAAATTAACACTGTGGGATGACATAATTAACTCTGTTCTGAATCATTAAAAACAAACATTATTTACTTTGTAAGTGTTAGTTTAACAGTTTCAAGTGTTTGTTATCAACTCGGAAAAAAGTTATTTTTATGATTCTGTTTAATATAATAACAAGCAAATCACTTTTTAAACATTCTTTTATTTTGGAAACTGTAAATCAAACAGTGCAAATTGCGGCAAAATGTACAAATATTCATTTGCAACTCCATATGAGTTTTGAATATCAAAGGGCTTGTAAAATTTCAGCTCTGTGGTTTGTACAAGGTGCCTATCCTCACTTTGAACAACTCTGAAAGCATGACAATGAGCATCAAAAGTCTCTGTGAAAAGCTGTTTTGTTAACAAAAACACATTATTGTCAACTAAAAGTACATCACTTATCTGACAAAACACAGGCATTTCTTCATGCATTGCACTACAAAGGACAAGTCCAGCTCTGTATTCAATACCATCTACTCTAACCCAGTTAGTTGAACAAACATTGTCTGACGCTATTTGAAGCATTTCATTATTTGCCAGATCTTCATCTGTAAGGGTAAATGGTTTGACAGGCCCGTGCTCGTTTTGCTTAATGGTTATTGTTTCCCAATGATACGCTATGGCCATTTGATGCTTTTTAGCAAGTGATTTAGTAATGTTTTTAAAATTTTTTAAATAATTTTTAAACAACTTGTGTTTGGCTTCAAACCTCATAGACCACATATGTAACAATGGACCAATTTTCCTAATAACAGATGGGTAGTGGATCATAAAATGATGTTTAGGTATCAAGTTCCTCTGTGGATACAATAACTTAAAGAGTCTGTGGTGCTCAACAATCAAATACTTCAAATATGTCGTACCCAAAGTCAGGATTGGAGAAAATACAATGTTCATTATTTCTAGTAACAAAAGTAACATGGACCAATTTTGGTCTCCAACAGGAATAATGTCCCCAAACAAAAGTGGAATATTTTTTAAAAGGCACAGTGTCTGAATAGAATTCAAACCTATACTATTACCAGCACTCTCCAAAATAATTTTTGTCGGACGGTTTTTTCTTTCTAAATACCCATAATCAAAACTATAAATCCTGGAAAGCAACTCCTGCTCTGATATGAAATGTTGAGTTAGATATTCAAAAAGTAACTTTAATTCATACTGAGCAACACCCTCGAGAAGATCATGCATTATGTCAAAGGAATAGTTATTTGATACATGAAAATACTTTAAAGAATTAAGTGAGGATTGTCTTTTTAAACCATATGCTGACTTTATCTGTGGGCTTTCTTGTAAAGATTTATAATGCGTTTCAAATATCTCTTTTGAGCGAAGGATTACCTTTGGATCATCCTCACTGTAGACAGATTGACAGTCACTTTTTTCTAATAAACACATCCGACAAAAGTAACGACTACTGAAAGACTCATTGAATCCAAGAATTGTGTGCATCCCTAAATTATCTCCAGTTACCTGAGAGATTGTACCGTATACTGGCTCATCAGAAAATGGAAGACTAAGCCCTTGGCTTTCCAGAATTTTTATATCATTCATCAAAGGTTCCAGAATAGCATCAAAACCATATTTGTGAAGATCTTGAGTATGAAATAGTGATATCAAATGAATGTTCATCAAAACTGAATTAAATTTAGGAGGGAGGTTTCTTAGAACAAAATAAAGACAACCAATTTTGTGAATTCCGTCTTTAGGGGATTGGCTGGTTCAAAATCATCATAGAAAATCTGAATTTGTAATGCACCTTTTTTAGCTGAAAACAGAGGATGTGCTTTAAAATAGCTTCCATCAGAGAAGTTTGCATAAGTGTCCTGCTCAGATTGATGTTCTCTCTTAAGTAAGGCACATATTTCTGGGTTTCTGCACATGAACTGTAATGTTTCTAATATTGGCACATATACAAAAGAATCATTAACTGGAATTTGATCATAAGTACCAGTTTTTTTTATTTCGCCTGCTGTCATATCTTATCCCTAATGTTATTTCTATTGGCTCAACAACACCCCATTTTTGGTTGAAATATTTGTTTCGTTTCCATTCTGTATTAAGATTTGTGAATGGGTTTTCAAATTTTTCTAATGATTCATTTATCACAGAAATGTTGGGATCAGTCACGGGTAATACAGAAACAGCTGCTTGTGTTGCTTTCAAATGAATCTCTCTAGTTAGTTCTTCTAAATCCCCCACAATTGAGGAAACCAAACTACCAGAGATCCCACTGCCCTGTAATTTGGCCACTATGGATGCACACATCTCTTTAGTTTGATCTTTAGAAATCGGAGAAGTACTCTCATTAGGAGCGTCATCAGAACAAAAGTTATCTACGGGGATTACCTGGGTGTCCAAAGCATCTGCCTGACCTGACAAAACTGGATTACTAGATGATGAACCTGCAATAGCTGAACTTTGTGAAACTTGCTGAACATCACTATGAACACTATTAAGATGCCTGCGAAAACCTGCATATGTCAGGAACTGATGCCTGCAGCCTTGCTGAGAGCAAAATAATTTAAACTTTGGTCCAGGATAGTAGCTATGCTCAACTCTTAAATGTGAAATCAACAGCTGACTGCTTGGAATCAGTTTCTGACACATAAAACAGGTCAACATATTTTTTTGCCTGACTTATTCACAGAAGAGCACAGCTGGCTGGTTAAGCAGCCTCGCTCTCAAGTCCCTAACTCTGGGTGACTCCTTCATTTTGCCTACATCAATGTTATACACTGTTGTCTGAATGAATGTATAAAAACTCACCAGTGCAGCATCATAAGAGACATTAAACACAAAGTGTGTTTTGAATAACTCATCAAATGCTCCAAGAGATCGGTTTGCCTGGCATGGGATGAGGCTCTTATCCATGACAATGTAGAAGCTTTCAATCTTGCTCCTCTGACGCCCAACAGCAAGGAGGTATGGCTGCCGACCCAGCTGACTCTGGAGATGTTCCTCCAAACTGCAGCAGGACTAGGATTAAAAACAGAAGAACATAAGAAATACAGCAATAGCCATCATGAAAAATCAAAAGATTCATACTTGCTAGTGAAATAATTTAATCTATTTTTAAGAAATCCTTTCAATCTATTGTTTTGTACAAGTGTATGAATGTGAAGTGAAAAATTACTGTACATTATCAGTTACCTTATGAAAGACAACAAGTCTCTCCACTGCATCACAGGCACTGATTTTGGGAGACTTCTGTCCTCCTGGTGGTGGTGGGAGGAGATGTATGAGCAGCAACAAGGAGGCCATTTCTTGGTCATATGCTGAGGACAAAATCAAAATGAACTTAACTTGCGAAACATCTCTTAAATTTATGAAAACACTGAGCAGTATTGGAAAGTTTAAACTGTCAATTAAATTCAGCTTTACTTAGGTACTCACCAGATGCCTCATCTTGATCATCTCCGGGAGATCGTTCTGCTGACTGGACCAAACTTCTTAACTCAGGTGTTGAAGTGAGCCGCCTTGCCTCCTTGATGACATTTGGCTTGAAGAACCCATCCCACTTCTGCAACAGTCTGGAGGAGGTGTCTTCATTAAACAGAAGACTGAAGTCCTGTTCAACCTTTGACAAAAAGCAGATTAAATTATCATTATTTGGTAAAAATTTACATTTGAAGACTTAAACAACTTATGAACACCTACCAGTCCTTTTGTATCCAGGAACCGTGGGAAGGTTTTCAGAATATCTGATCCTCCGTTGGTATCTTTGATAAGCTTCTGACGATGCTGAAAAGTTTCTCTCATCTTCTGAAAAACCAGGGTCCTGTCAGTGGTGTGATTAAGCAGAGATGTGGCCTCCTGGCAGGCATCCCCAAAAAGCTGGCTTTCAACATTAACAGCTCTCTGGACATTGGGGCCTCCAGATGAAATTTCACTGGAGCTACTTGGTGGCACAGGTGACCCTTTTCGAATCTTCCTTTTGACCGTTTTAAGGCGCCACGAAATGTATCCTGTGCTGCTAGCTGCATCATAAAAGTGATCCTGAAAAAGGAAATTAATAAAACAATCATGCTTTTTTTTTACGTAAAATTAAATGCCATTGGACAAAGTGTGGTTTCAGAAAGCAAGTTTGCAATTGATAAAGAACATTACATAGCCTTTCTTGGTATATGGATCCTTGAGGGATGGGAAGAGTGTCACAATCCCCAGGGCATACTCCTCTCGGATTGCTTTAGTAGGGAGGTGCCTGACAGAAGATATTAAGTTAGTGAACAAATGGTCCATTTTCACAATAATAAGTCTAAAAACACACCTACCCATGTTTATCAATCATGTGAGCCACTAATATGTTCACCATTTGTCTTCTTGTGGCATCAGTTAAGGTTTCAGTTGTTTCATACTCCTGCAGTACTTCTTCACCGCAAGACTTGCTTCGTAGGACACCTTCAACCAGCTATCAAATGATAAACAGATAAAAGAGCCATTACACGGTGCTATGCAGATTATCTAAACATGACAAAACAGGATTAAAGAGTTTAGAGGCACACAGAAATCTGGGTTAACCTTTTTAGCTGACACAGCAATATTAGCACTCTCAGTTTTTTGCTTCTTGCGTGGGATCTCATCCATCAATAGTGTTGATGTTGATGCATTGGAGCTGGAACTTGATTCAGACAATTCTGAAGCAGAAGACCAATCCGAGAGCTCTAAAAGACAACATCAGTAATGTTACTGTATTTGAAGAGCTGTAGAATTATATATTTGCTTTTAAAGCTCACCTTCATTGCACAAGACTATCAGCAGCACATTGCCTGGTATAATGAGGTCACTGATTATTTCTCCATCAACTTCAGTTCCTGTTGCATCCTTGTATGTAATGCTTGCATCAGGTGGCAGGCAAAATCTTTCCAAGACTGGAAAAGTAGAAAGGAAAATTTTTGTTTAAATGGGAAGTTGAAAAAAAAGTTGTCTAATTAAAATTTGCTTTATTTGAGTATAGAATTTTTATTTTATGTTGATTATACGATTAGAATGGTGTACTCATTACAAAAATTAAAATACATTGTTTTCCCCTTTTACTCATCATGGATTAATAAAACTAACTGCACTTCAAACACACTTAAATGTCTATTGTTTCCTTCAACAGAGTTTAAACAAATAACAAACCTTTCTCATGGAACTGATGAAAGTCGAACTGCCCCTCAGCCTCATCCAATTTCACATACTTGTGCCGGTCACCATACTTTACCTGGATCAGCATTTCACTTGTGCATGGAATAAACCTAAAAAAAAAACACACACATTTGTTAGTTTACCAATTTCTTTTTTATTTTATTTTCACATTGCCCATTTTTATTGGGATCAATAAAGAAATAAGTGTGTCTCAAATATAAATTAATGAAGTAAAAAAAGAAAAAGGAAAATATACAAAAATAATTTATAATATAAAAGTATATTTTAATGCTGAAAATAAACAAATAATCCATGTCTTGTTTTTCTGGAATATAAATAAGGTGCTTTTTTTATTTAGGGATGATGTCTTGACACATTATATACTTAATTTTAAATAACTACTGAACAACTGCATCAACATCAGTGCTTTTATTTCCAATTGGGTTAGTTCAGCATGGTTTTCTCAGATGTCTTTCACCAAGCTTCTCTGCACACCAAGCAGATACTCGATCGTTCAGTGCTGACATTCTCATGAAGCATTTTTTTCAGGAGCTTTTGATCAAGGTGACGCACAAGGTGCTTAAAGCACGCGCGATCCAAACTGGAGCGCGCGCACCGCGCACGGTCTTTGAAGCACACGCGCGCGGAAATAACTGATGGTGAGCGCGCTCGTTCTTTAAGCAACGTGTGCGGCGCGCGCTCTAAGGTTTTAGCGGGTATTTGAAACAACACGGTTAAGAGCCGGTGAGCAACGGCCTTCAATAAATGTGGGTCAGCGAACGGTTATATAGTTGTTAGCATTAATAAATGTGTCGACACACAATAACGCATTAACATTTTCAACCCTAACAGTTGCCATGAGCTAGCAAGCTCTTCACGTGGGCTGCTAGCTAGCAGATACAGTTTGTGAAGTTATTGCAAAAATAACATACATTCAGCGACCATTCAGTTAGGTACTAGCTTTTAGAAATAGTTACATCACACACTTTTAAAAGTGTTTGGGTAAAACTTAAAACAATTGTACTTACCGTGTTCGAGGTTAGACAGCGGGAGATGAACAAAATGGACCCGTTTTCAAATTGCACCAGGGTAGACTGAGAAGCAGGTGGGGAGGAGCTTATTATACTCTTAGCAAAGTAGATCCAACACCAGTACATTTAACTCTGGGAAAAAACTCAAACACTGGACTCCATTTTAATCCAAAAGTGCTAAAACAACACCGTGAGAGTTAAAATCAACTCACAAATGTTTAACCTTGAAATTTTAACACATTAGTTTTTGCTGTGTAAAGTCTGGATCTGTTTATGTATTGACGACATTAGCTGGAGAGGTATCTGGGACGGATCGCACTCAGGTTAATCAGGATAACCGAACAGTAATGGTGCTCGCACATCAGGGTCAGTAGGATCGGGAGAAGGTAGCAGCAGTTCGGTCTAGTATGGGTGGTGTGGTGTTCACAGGTTGCTCAGAAGAAGTTGGGTTAATGTCAGTGACAGCGCCGCCCCTGGAGCTGTCTTTACATTTTTCACACATAATTGAACCTGTTACATGTTCTGGTTTAGAGCTGTGGCATCCTCTAGAGATCTAGAGGGTGCCGGGGGACCATGGCCACCCATGATAAGTTTCTGGCCACCCCTGGGATGAACATTATGCTATAATAAATTATTTAACTTCACACAAACCATACATTCATCTTATTTAAAGACATAAATGCAAAACCCAATTCAATAAATAGTTTTACGGAGTAAATCAATAATCTGATTAGATAAACAGATGCTCGTACACTGCTGCTGTTTTCCTTTTTCAGAACAAAAGTTTAAATCTCGGTTTTTGTTGATGAAACAGGCAAATTAAAATGTTCTAAAATTCTAAAAGAAATGTTAAAAAAAACTCTCCCAGAGTTACCACAAGGACCAGTTTGGTGTGCCACCCCACATTTTTCTCTGGCCCTTATGAAGTTTTTCTAGGAGCGCCACTGGTTGGAGTCCAGTACAGAGCTGTAAATGTTTCATGTCGTTAGATTTCACAGCAGCAGCGGTCCGCTTACTCCCCAGGCTATCCAGACTAAGCCTCGGAGATGAAGATGTAGATCTTCATCATCAGGAGATTCTCAGAGTTGCTGCTCCTTAGTGAAAAGAGAAGGATCAGCCGTCTTGTTAGGACACCTCCTGGTCTAGGCCAATAGGGGGAGACTCTACTGAGGCTCCAGATCTCACATTTCCTCTCTGACCTCAGATCAACCTGTAGGGTCCACCAGGAGGACCAGCTGGGTTTCCCACCATGTGGATGTTTGTTGGAATTCCTTAACCCCTTGTGAAGCGACCGCCTGGAGCATCACTCATTTCCTCTCATCCTCAGGAGAACATCAGACATGTCGGATAATTCATCCTCATCTGGGAAACTCCCGCTCCTCCACTGTTCCAACACATTCACCGCCCTCCTGTCGCTAAGAGGCATCCTCCTCCTCCCTCTCTCCACCTTCATCCTGTTCTTGGCTCTACAAAGATGGCGGCTGCGGTGCTACTCTGTAACATCGAGCCTCTCTGACATCTTCGCCTACAACCTGGCAGTCATGGAGCTGCTCTGGGTTTTCGGGTTCTTCTGTAAAATTGCTGTGGATTATTTTAATCTCCCGGCGTTGGGAAGCGTGGGACAGTGGGCGGCTCTGAACACGTATTACGGAGAAATCTCGTTTCATGGCCTGACCTGTGCTGAGCGCTACATCGCTGTTGTTCACCCCGTCACCTACCTGAGGGTCAGAAACACCTGCTGGGTCAGAACCAGAAACATCAGCACCAGCTGCGTTTGGCTGCTGTGTTTGTTTATGATCCTCCTGAATCAGAATCTACCACAAACCTACAGTAACGTCCCGTTTTACAGCTTCTTGGCTTTCTCAGTCTCAGCCATTTCCTTCTTTAGTCTCTCCGTTCTTCGCGTTCTGATTCGTCCAGGGCCCGGGGATGTGGGTGGGGACAAGGGGCGCAGTAACCAATCAAAGAAGAGAGCTTTCCTCACTGTCACGGCCATACTGGGCGCTGAGTGGTTTTGGGTGTTTGGGCTTGTTGTTCCCATTGCTGTCAGTCAGACACCAGTACTCAGTGCTGAAGGTAAGTGTCTGGTTTCTGCAGCTACAGCCTTCTGTAACCTGCCCAGTAACCTGGTGCTGCCTCTGCTGTACCTCCACAGGGTGGGAAAACTGCCCACTCACCGCATTGATCCTGAATGAGGACGGGCAGGAAGCTCAACCCTTTGTCGTTCTTTTAAACTCAATCATATAATTGTTTATCACCATGAGATTTGAGTTAGTTTAAAGTTAAAGTGCTATAGTCATCATCACACACTGGTGAAATTCATCTCTGCATCCGACCCATCCCCATGGAGCAGAGAAGTGAGCGGCCGCTGTAGCCGCGCTCGGGAAGTATTTGGTGGCTTAAACCCCCCAATCCAACCCCTTAAAGCTGAGTGTCAAGCAGGGAGATACACTCAAAGAAAAAATTTGTTGGGTGAACGTAATAAAATTATGGAAAGGATTTCCACCTAACTGAAATGCTACGATTCAGCAATATAGAATTTTGTTGAGTGAACAAAATGTAAACATGTTGGTTCAACTTGATATAGTTTGGTTACTGTGACCTAATTATCATTGTTCAGCACAACTAGATTTGTATGGGTAAATTTAACATTCAGTACATGATTTGTTTGTGCAATTAAACACAAAAATATTATGTTGGGTGAACGTAATAAAAATAATATGGAAAAGATTTCCACCTAACTAAAATGCTTTGATTCAGCAAAATATAATTTTGTTGAGTCAACAAAATGTCAACATGTTGGGTCAACTTGATACATTTGGGCCACTTACTTAATTAGCATTGTTCAGTCAAACATTTGTATGGGTAAATGTAACATAGGTCCAATTTAGCTAATGTGTTTTGTTGTGCTATTTTACCTGATAGAAGTAGTTACATTACTTTAAAAAATACAGCTACCCCTGGTGCCATTTTTTAAGTCTTTGGTATGACCCGACTAGGAATCGAACCCCGATACCCCAGTCCCAGGGCGGTCACTCTACCACTAGTCAACTGAGCAGGTCATAGGCAATTCCCATGACATCACTGATCCTGGGGACTAGTTAGTTAGTCTAACCCGCTCCACCCCAGCTGTTCTGTGGCAGAAGAGACGTAAACCAAACCTGATCAGGGTGAAACGCGTCATTTTGCTGCTTTAATGGATGATGAATCATAATAAAACATAAACCTCTTGATAATAAAAATCCAATCACTGCTTTAATTACGTATTTTTTTTGTTAGTTTGTTTGTTGCCCACCCTAAATTATTTTTTATTTTATTTATGTCACTTATTATAAAAAAGTGTTTCAGTTATTTAGCAGCACATCTCCATTATTTTCATAATCAGTATTTTAATATTTTCTGTGAATATCACTTTGTGATTGAACAATTAATCCAAACTTGATTTTGACTTTTATTTAGATCATAAACACATTTGTGTCATTTGTCTGTTTGAGGTTTGTTTTTCAACTGAGTGAATATATATTAAATAATAATATTCATTTTAATCCATAATTCTGCTTTCTAATTTAATGAAATTAAGTTTTACTGGCCTTTGAGAAAATTGTATGTAAATGTCTAATAAATGACACTTCTCCTTAAAGCCACACTGTGCAAATTTTCATATTATTAAATCAGTTTCTTTAGCCATTATGTGCTAAATGACCATTTACAGGATTGTCACTTTAAACCCCACCGCCCTCTGTGGTCAGAATAACGCGCTTGCAACTTCAAAGTGGCAGTCTGATGCTAGAGTTGACATACCTGGTGCTGCAGTCTGCTTCCAGCACGTTTCCTGAGTGTTCTAGATCATGAACACAGCTGATTTGTATGATTTGGTGATTAATCACTCCTGTAGACACTAATGAAGGCTGGGGAGACATCTCAGCTGTTAGATTAAGGTGTTAAAAAGACGAACGCACAGAAAGGAGATTGGTTTTACTAACTAGACACTAGGGGGTGCTAAAAGAAAGCCAAAACTGCCGAGTGTCCCTTTAATGAATCTGGAGATCTTCCCTTGTCAGCATGTGAGGCAAACCTGTCACTTTAACACAACATGCACTTCTTTTGTTACATTTGTTTCATTAAAGGGGCATTATGGAAGTGTGACAGCCAAAACATGTATAGAAATAATAAATGTCTTCTTCATACATTCTCCTGCAATGCCCTGGTCCTGTAGAATGAGCCCTGGCATTTTTACTGTGATTGCCTGTTTTTCTGTAAAATCACAGAAAAAGAGAGATGCTCGGATCGAGCAGGCTGCTTCGTGCTCGTTCACGCTCAGGCATAGCCCGTAGCATTTGCTATCCGTAGCTTTAGCAGCAGAGAGAGAGGCAGTGCCACTTTGTCGCTGTTGCTAACGCCTAGTGATGAACCTAGCTACATTTCTGAGGACCCTTAGCTACTTTCTGTGGAACTTTCTTCTAGATATTTCCTGCAAATTAGCAACAAAATAGCCATTTTCGCTCCGAACTGTTCTTTGAACGTTGTTTCAGCTGTCATCAAGGATATAAATGGTACAGATACAAAGGATGTCACTGGTGCTTTAGCTCACCAAGTAAGATGTCGGACTCTCGTGCAGAAGACCTGTGTTTGATTCTGGATGTGAACATAGTTTATTTAGAGTTTCTTTTTTACATTAATGGTATATTTTTTTACAGTAAGATGCCCAAATTTTTATTTGAGACTCGCCGAACGGCATTGAATTCACAGATGAAAAAGATGTGGATTAAACTTTCATTTTGGAACAATTTTTCAAGCAAGGAAAGGGAATGATCTGAGCATGCAGGAGGACTGACCCATCATAAACCTTTGTCGGCTGTGCTGAAGAGAAAGGTACAGAACCACATTATTTAATTAATTAGCTGCGCGTTCTCCTGTCCTCCAGGCCACACACACACACACACGCACACACACACGCACACACACACACACACACACACACACACAAGGGACTGTATCAGCTGTTATTTTCGTTGAGGAGTGTGCACGTACAGCATGCACGAGCCTACTATTGAAGCTGCTGTTACGCACTTGGCCTGAGGGGGCAATCACGAGCATAAAAATGTATGAATGAACGTTTAAAAATT